TGCTGACACTGGAGAAGGGCAGAGGAAGGGCTGGGTCGCGTGGTCTTTTGTAATCGGGTTGTGCCTGGTGAGTTCTGAGCTGCTATTTTTCTTTTAGAATACGCTAATCTCCTTCACCTGTGGCTGGCACTGGAGAAAGTTAGGCAAGGGCTGGAGTGATCTTTGGCAGACTCGCTCGCTGTGTCCCAGGATCTACCAGGCCAAGGGCAAGGCCGATGCCACCTGTGCCCCTTGCACCACAGGCCACATGATGTGGCCAATCAGCCGGGGGCTGCCCCCACCTCAGGCCGGCCTGGTGCTGATCCCTGTCCCCCTTCATAGAGAAGGCACCAGCTCAAGATGGCTCTCTGCAGGCTCTCCTTCCATGTACTGTCTGTGGAAACTGAGGGAAGGGGTGGAGGTGGAGGTTGGGGGAGGGTAACAAGAGGGGTGACAATCATCCAGGCCCGTTGTGTTTGTACACCTCTGTGTCAAATGGCAACTCCTTTGTACAACTACTTAAAGATAAACATAAAATAAAAATACATTTTATGATATAGTGTTCTTGTGACACTTGTAGGCTTGTGAAGTTATAGAGAAAATAGCATTTTAAAGCCTAGTTTGCTTCCTTCCTACTATCATTTTGGTTTATTGGTTTTTTAAAAATGTATTTTCAAAATACACTTCGTTTTATTGCCATGTTGTGGACTTAGAATAAAGTGAGCAGACAAAATTCAGTGACTGCCCCGGCCCGGCACGTCCAAAACCTAAGCGAGTGACGCCCGTGTTTGCTGAGCGGGTCCAGAGCACACAGGGAAACTGAGGCAAGAGATGAGGAGGACACAGTACCCATGTGGCTGTCGGTGTCACCGTGAGTGAGGAGCCCTGGTGGCCACACCATGGACACACACCACCGTGGGAGTCAGGATTCAGATATGGCATGGAGGCCAGCAGAGGCAAGTTATCTTCTGGGAGGTCTCTGTCTCTATATCTTCTTGTCCAGGGCTAACCCAAACCAGAATCGATGTCTTTGCTTTTCTGCTTTACCTGGCTCAACCCCTTACTGGCCATTCGGGGAGATTCTGAACACTTGGGACAGTGGCCTGTGTTCCCGGGGAAGTCTCGCTTGCAGCTTAGCCCCATTGATACTAGCTGTGGGACGTCCATGTTTTTACTGTCTGGTGAGCTGTCAGTCGACAGTGTCCTGTCGGGACATGTGAATCTCTTTCATGCCTGGCCGGTATTAGAGAAGGTCAGGGAAAGTCTGGAGCTGAGGTGTGTCTGACAGGATCAACTGCTCTGAGCAGTGTCCACCAGATCAAGATTCTGCATGAGCTGCTCCTTCCCTATCGGCCTGGTGCCCAGCTCTGTTCCCTGACCTTCTTTTTCCATAAGGTCTACCACGATTCACCTGTCAGGATCCCCCTGTTCAGGTCCTTTACCCCAGAGTGTCTGCCGAAAGCAGGGACTGTTGCAGCAATAGAGAAATGTGCCAGGACCTGCCACCCATCTCCTCTTCCATAAATCTCAAAAGTCCAGCACAGCTGGGGGTCAGCCATTCTAGTTACTCAGGAGGCTGAGCCTCCAGGATTGCGGTTTGAAGCCATCTTGGGCAGAAAATGTCCCCAAGATTCCACCATAGAGCACCAGCCATGGATGAAAAAGCCAGGCAAGAGCTTGAGACTCTGGGCCTATGGCCCAGCACTAGCCCAAGCAGAGCAGATCAGAGCAAGACAAAAACCAGGACCAACTTCCCGCCTTTACCTATCAGGGAAGACATTCCTGTTCCTAAGACATTCCCTGTTGAGAGCATTGGTAATTACAGTGAGGGAAACTCTAGCCACACCATGCCAGGACTGAGGAAGGGAAGCCCTAGACCCACCATGCCATGGTTGAGGAAGCCTTAGCATTTTCTAACCTCCTTCAGAAAGGCCAGAAGACACTGGGAAAGGCACAGCCCATGGGGAATTACCCACCCTGGACAAAGGCTTTGCCTGTGGGGTCCCTTCCTCCCCTATCTCCATCCATGAACCAAAAGTTCACACACCAACCCACTTGAGGGATGAACTCAAACCCAGGTGAGTTCACTGACCAGTTGTGGTCTTTCATGAAAAGAGTGAGCAGGTAACTACCGATGTAGCAGGGAACAAAACGCAAAGTGACAGTAAGCAATGTGGGCACCAGACAAAACCTACTGGAAACACAACATCGTTGCACAAAACGTGCAGCCAGACACGAAACAACAAAACAAACGCTGACTGAGAAGACTACATAAAGAAATCATCCCAAAATGCAGTAGAAAAAAAGCCAAAAGATGATAAACGGCAGGGTTAGTTTAGGGTACTCAATATCGGCAAATGAGTTTAACAGAGAGAGCGAGGAAGACGTAACAGAGAAGAGATCCCCCGTTCTCAGAGCAGAGCACCCGACTGTAAATGAAAGCACAAACTCTTTCAGAATTCAGACTCTGAAAGAGGTAGCCAACTGCCTCCCACAAGTGCAAGCCTGAATACTTCATCGTTGTGACAAAAAATAATCCCGAGAAGACATAAGGCCAAGCCCAGTGTTCTAGAACCTTCCAGAACAGGATAGGATCCTAGGAGAAGATTATTAAAGTGCTAGGAGATATGAAACAGCAATTGAGAGCTTACTGTACTGGCGAAATCTGTTTCATGAAAAAGCTTAGCTAAATGTCCCACACAACCATCTATGTCCGTTATAATGGATGGAGGTTATGTCCAGTGATAGCCTGCCATATGGACTGTCTTCGTTAGATTAATGACGAAAAACATAAATATACCTGCTCCTGTACAACACTACCAGTCTCAGCAGACTGACTGAGCTTCATATAATGATGCCAAAAATCTAGTGTGTGGGCCAAAGTTGTAGGCGTGGGTCCTCCAAACCTTTGCCCTAAGTCCTATGTGGTGCATTTTAAGAATAAAACCTTGGCTGCCTCCTCCCCACCCATCCCGTCAGGCTCTGGTCCAAAAGAAGAGTCAGGGATGCGAGGCATTCCAGTATGTCAGGCAGAAGGGCACCGGGCGAGCTCAAAGCTCCATTCTTCTGCTCCTCCTCATAAAGCGAGAGGTCTCGCATCTCAGCACAGACTCCAGAGCCGGTCCAGAGCCTCCTCCACGATGCTGCTGGTCCTGCTCACCGCGGCCCTGCTGGCCCTGAGCTCTGCTCAGAGATATGGTCAAGGTAGGGAAATGGGTGCTGGGATTCGACCTAGAGTCTAGGAGAAGAAAGGAGAGGGGGGTGACTTGTTAGGACACAAGTTTTCTAACCGTGTCTGAGGCTGAGATTTGTTTTTTCTTTTTTTAGTTTTGGGGGGGTCCGGTCGTGGGGCCTGAACTCTGGGTCTGGACACTGTCCCTCAGCTCTTCAGCTCAAAGCTAGTGCTCTACCACTTGAGCCACAGCGCCACTTCTGGCTTTTTTTCTTTTTGCTTATGTGGTGCTGAGGAATCGAACCCAGGGCCTCATGCATGCAAGGCAAGCGCTCTACCACTGAGCCACCTTCCCAGCCCAAGCCTGAGATTTTTTTCATATCTAATGAGACCTATTGGGGTGTATGCCCACAATAAGAGAAGATATACAGAGCAGAGGCTCGGTTAGGTAATGTTTGCATTCACGAAGATATTGTAAGAACAGGGCAGATGTGGTCGAGGCTGGGCCTGGTGCGGGCTGGTGTGCTGGACACGCGGCGGATGCAGGGCAGACAGGCAGGCCAGCTGTTCCTGGGAATGAAGTCACATGGCTAATTTGAATCCTCTGTCAGTGATTCTCACCCTGTGAGGGCAAAATCTAGGGATTCGTTAGCCAAGGCTCAAAGGAGGTCACGGGGAAGGCTGGCAGGGGAGAGGCCAGGCGAGAAGGTCACAGAGCAGAAAGAGAAGAGCCGTCTGTCCCTGAGCTGTGTTCTTGCTGTACAAACGCAGGATTCGGGAATCCAAACCAGGGCCCTGCTCTGAGACCCCTTCCTGGAGGATTCGCACCATTTGGTGAGGATGGTCCTCAGCAGAGACCCCCACAGCAGGGAGGCCAGCAGCAGCAAGGACCACCACAACAAGGACCCCAGGGCCCTCCACGAAGACCCCAGGGTCCCCCACAAGGACCCCCACAAGGACTCCAGGGCCCTCCACGAAGACCCCAGGGTCCCCCACAAGGACCCCCACAAGGACCCCAGGGCCCGCCACGAAGACCCCAGGGTCCCCCACAAGGACCCCCACAAGGACCCCAGGGCCCGCCACGAAGACCCCAGGGTCCCCCACAAGGACCCCCACGAGGACTCCCACAGCAGAGACCCCAGGGCCCCCCACGAGGACCCCCACGAGGACCCCCACGAGGACCCCTGGGCCCCGCACAAGGCCCCCCACGAGGACCTCCACGAGGACACCAGGGTCCCCCACGAGGACCCCCACGAGGACACCAGGGTCCCCCACGAGGACCCCCACGAGGACCCCCACAGCAGAGACCCCAGGGCCCCCCACAAGGACCCCCACAACAGAGACCCCCCCAGCAGGGACCCCCCCAGCAGGGACCCCCCCCAGCAGGGACCCCCCCCAGCAGGGACCCCCCCAGCAGGGAGGCCCACAGCAGGGAGGCCCACAGCAGAGACCCCCCCAGCAGGGACCCCCCCCAGCAGGGACCCCCCCCAGCAGGGAGGCCCACAGCAGGGACCTCCCCAGCAGGGACCCCCCCCAGCAGGGACCCCCCCAGCAGAGACCCCCCCAGCAGGAACCCCCCCAGCAGAGACCCCCCCAGCAGGGAGGCCCACAGCAGGGACCTCCCCAGCAGGGACCCCCCCCAGCAGGGACCTCCCCAGCAGGGACCTCCCCAGCAGGGACCCCCCCAGCAGGGAGGCCCACAGCAGAGACCCCCCCAGCAGGGACCCCCTCAGCAGGGACCCCCCCAGCAGGGACCCCCCCCAGCAGGGACCCCCCCCAGCAGGGAGGCCCACAGCAGGGACCTCCCCAGCAGGGAGGCCCACAGCAGGGACCCCCCCAGCAGGGACCCCCCCAGCAGGGACCTCCCCAGCAGGGACCCCCCCAGCAGGGACCCCCCCAGCAGGGAGGTCAGCAGCAGGGACCCTCACAGTAAAGCCAACCTTCTCAACAACCCACAATTCAATGTCAGGTACAATTTAAATTTATTCTCTATGAAAACCTTTGGCTTCTAAAAATCACTCCACTGTAGTTCTGGTTTTGAGGACCATGGACCCAAGTTTCCCTTTGTTCTGCCACCGTCTGTCTGTCTGTGTGTCTGTCTTGTGCTGCTCTGTGAAGACCGTGGCTCCCCCTGGGCCCGCTGCACCTTGCTTGGGCTTGATGGCGTCCCCCGCCTGGTCCCTCTGCTCTGCCTGGCCTCACAGAGCGAGTGTCTGAGCTCTAGTATCTCTGCTCTGTTTTACCTGGATATAATGCTGCTAAACATTAGATTTTTTCCCAATTCTTTTTTTTTTTTTTTTTTGGGTCCAGTCATGGGGCTTGAACTCTGGGCCTGGGCGCTGTCCCTTAGCTCTTCAGCTCAAGGCTAGCGCTCTACCATTTGAGCCACAGCACCACTTCCGGCTTTTTTCTTTTTGCTTATGTGGTGCTGAGGAATCGAACCCAGGGCCTCAGGCATGCAAAGCAAGCGCTCTACCACTGAGCCAACCTTTCCAGCCCCTTTCCCAATTCTTTCAAATGAATACATGCTCAATATAAAGACAGGTCCACCTAAACAGAAAGGCATGAGACGAAAACTAAAAAGCATGTGTCATCGTAAGTCCCCACTTCCTGAAAAGCACCAAGATTGTGTTGGCTGATTTCTTAGAAATACTTTTTTTTTCTTTTTGTCGGTCATGGGGCTTGAACTCTGGGCCTGGGCGCTGTCTCTGAGCTCTTCAGCTCAAGGCTTGTGCTCTACCACTGAAGCTACTTCTGGTTTTCTGGTGGTTAATTGGAGATAAGAGTTTCACGGGCTTTTCTGCCCAGGCTGGCTTTGAACTGTGATCCTCAGATCTTAGTCTCCTACTCGGATGATAGGCGTGAGCCACCAGTGCCAGGCTTTAGGAATACTTTTGTACATACATATGTATAATAAGTTCCTGTAAACACTGCATTTTAGGTTAAAATCTGTATTATACACATATTCAATAACATACGTCAGTTAATGGTTTTCTTCATTATCTGGAGGCCTTCTCTGTGTTCTTCTCTGTTTGGCTTGTAGTTCATGATTATGTACTGTTCTGTTGTGTGGCTCTGCCATAAGCTCTTCAATCAAAGCCTTGTGTGTGGACTTTGAGTCTCATGTCAGCACCTGATACAGGAAATGCTTCAGTGGTGATTTTCAATCATACACCAGATAAACAAGCTACAAAAGTATTTTTCTTCATCTTATTAGTAATAACTTAGAATGCATTATTTGCTAGGTACATAGCAAGAATAAACAGAAAGAAAGGAAAAAGAGATGGGTGGGAAAAATAGAGAAAAAGGAAGAAGATGTAAGCTGTCATACACCTCCCCGCAAATCTGGCAAGCAATCGGAAGCTGTGGGCACCACATCAACCTGTAACCTGGCTGTCCTTTGTTTATTTCAGACAGTGAACAAGAAGATGTTCGGAGGTCATTTCATTGGAAGGTGTGGTCACACCGTATCTTTACTAAGTCAATAAAACAATGAGCATCCACATTCTGACTGCCATCGCTTTTATTTATTAGCATCAATCAGTCACGCAAGGGGGTTCTAATTTAACATGCCCATTGATGTAGACAGCTCACGCAGTTCAAATTCACCCCTCCTGCTTCTCCCTCCTCCCGTTCCCCAACTTCTCTGTTTGATTTGTGGCTGAGAATAGTCTGAAGGTTCTCAACATAATATTTAATGTCCAGAGTGCCTTCTCTTGAATGCTCCCAGCATTCACTTTGGCCCAGGCTCTTGCAGCTTGTAATCTAGCGATACTAGAATGTGAGGCAAGCGCTCAGCTGATAATCTTGTAATTCTACAATAACACTCAGAACAGGAGAAACCACCATATTTCCAAAATAATCGATTCTGTTTCTGAGAGTGTGCTTCTAGACCTTTTCTTACTAGCATCCATTGCACTCTTCCCTCTTCACCTCACAGTTGCCTGGTTCTCTCCCAGTGATGTAATAATCACCATTCTGGATTTTTCTAAAAGACACGGTGGGGTGGATGTTGACGCCCAAGGACCATTGGCAGTTGTGTAGTAGCCCGCTGTCTGTTGCTGTAATTTCTTCAGCCGGCACCTGTAAGGTCTATGGCCCCATGCCCACTCTGGACTCCCCATTGCTAACATAATGAGCATGGTTCTGGCCAGAGATGTAAACACCTCAGAGCGTTTGCACAACTTAAAGAGCAAATAGTCACCCATAGCCGTACAACTCAAAGAAAACACTGTTTCTTTTCTTCTATTAAGTTTGACATTACCTCAAGTCCTAGAGTGATTCCAAGAGAGCTAAGAAATCTCCTAATATTAGTTCGAGTGGAAAAACAATTTTATTTGGGGAAGTTATCAAAACAGTGAAAGAATAAGATACATAAGTAAATAAAATCACAAAATAGCATAAAGCAAAACATGAAATTATAGGTTTCAAAGGAAACTGAAGTGCTAAATATTGAGGAATGCCCTTTTCTTTTTTCTTTTGGTCAGTCCTGGGGCATATACTCAGGGCCTGGGCGCTGTCCCTGAGCTCTTTCACTCAAGGCTGGCATTCTACCCCTTGAGCCACAGCACCACTTCTGGTTTTCTGGTGGTTCATTGGAGATAAAGTCTCACAAACTTTTCTGCCCGGGCTAGCTTTAAACCTCGATCCTCAGACCTCAGCCTCCTGAGTAGCTAGGATTACAGATGTGACCCACCGGCACCTGGCAAATGCCCTTTTCTTACATGACAAGGGCTTTAGCCAAGGAGAACATGCGGCACAGCACCATTGTTTCTTGAGCAATTTAGCTGAATGAGTCAAAAACAATTGCAATTTAAGACTAATATTCCAAGGAAATTGCCATTTTACCCAGTTTCTACTTTTGTACAATGTCATTTTGCTGTTAAGAGCCATCATTTAAATAGCCACGGATAAGTAAACCACTAAAATCTTATTTAGTTTAACGACACATATGAAATTCCCTTTCTCCCCTGTGTGGCGGTGGTGGGGTTCACCTGTAATCCCAGCACAGCGGAGTGGGTGCCTGAGTACATGCCTTCACGTGAACACAGGGACAGACCCAGGGTGCATACAGGAGTCCCCAGGACAGGCAGGGCCAGGGACATCCGCGGGGGGCAGAGGCAGGGGACAGGGAGAGGAGCAGGGGGATTCCAAACTCCTGCCATATGGGCACCGGCTCCTGGGCTCCAAGCCTGTGTGAGATCATGTTTTATGCTTGTCACTCAGTCTGCGGATTTCTTTTTGGTTGGCATCTCTCCTGCGGTAATATGAGAGACAGCAGACTTTAGGGTATAGAAATAAAAAGTCCCATTGATGGCACGGTAAGCCGTACGTGGGGACAAATGGCCGCCCAGCTGACCTTCCTGGCCTCAGTTCTCGAACGATTTCAAGCTCACCGAAACTCATGGCCAGTCTTCTCCCCCGTCTTTCTGTAGGGCTGCAGGTTTGGGATGTTTCAGATGTGTTCAGAGGCGATATTTTTCTTTTGTGATAAATGAATCTCCTTGCTGCATGGCTGACATTGGAGAAGGTCAGAGGAAAATCCAGCACTGGGTAATAAATGATAGAATTCACTGCTCTGTTCCTGTATCCACCACAATAAGGTCGAAGCTGGCTCCAGTCTGAGCTGCTGCTTCCACCTCTGCCACACAGTGCTGGCCGGTGGGCCTGGCCTTCCCCTCTGTCCACGCCTTCTGACTTTCCCTTCCTGCCAGAAGGTCAGGGCCACTCCTGTCACTGCCCCTTCCCACAGAAGGCCTTCAGAGCCTTTGTAACAGTAGATAGGGGCATGGAGTCCAAAAGCCCAGCTAAAGCAGATCTGCTTTTCCTAGAAGCAGGAAAGAGTCACCAGTGTTTAACACTCCCCCTTCAAATCACAGTTACTCTAGGAAGACGTCACCGTCCTGACCAAACTGCAAGCCACCTTGTCTGCGACAAACACCACTGTCAGCAGGCCCTGCTGTGGTTTTCTCTGCACCTCTTGAAAAGGGAGCGAGAAACTCGCATGGGAGAGTGCAGAACCACCCGTGCACACCGGGCAGGAGCCAGACTGCCAGCCATGTGACCATCCTTGCCTCCCCTCAACCAAGCCATACTCGAATTAGCCCAACTCCACAAGACCCAGTGGCCACGCAGAACCTGAGCCCTGAGGGAACTGAAGAGAGGCAGATGTCTATGCCAAGGCATCTGGACCTTCTGTGGAAAGGGCAAGCAGGCAGCTACCCATGCAGCCGAAAAAGGCAGAAGGTGGGCCCAGGACAAGCACCCTACCAGCCCAACAAGACTTGTTGGAAACACAGCAACTTGTTTCTGGTATCACAAGGAAACATGGAACAAGATGGTGAAGAAGAGAACATAGGATGGTTTTGAAGATGAAAATCTCCCCAAATGCATGAGAAAACCAACTGGCTATCATACAGTAAATCAATACCAGGAGGATGGATAGACACCAGAAATTTCAGCCCATTACAGGGGTGTACATCTCATCCCAGATGCTCCGGAACAGAGCGGGAAGACCTCGAGTTCGAGGCCAACTGGCAAAGTTAGGCTCTGCCCCCGAAACAAAGCCCTAGCAAAAATGTTCAAGGGAACAGAATGCCTGCCTACCATGTCTAAGGCCCTAAACCTAATCTACCATCCTGCAAACAATCAGCTAATTAAAATACCAGCAAATCAGTTCCATAAAGTGTGGGAGGAATACAAGAATGGGAGAGGTAACTCTGAGTGAGACGTGTTATAACGATAAACTGGCCCATTGAATAAAAAAATAGAAATAAAAAGAATGATGCCCAACGTGGAAGTGAGCACCGCCCACGAGCACATAAAGGCAGTGGGGCTGAGACTCGTCGAGAGGTGATGGGCCTTATTCAGTACATAATTTTGGCTGATCAAAATTTTCTGGCTGTGATTTTAAAGTATCTCCTAGAAGAAATAAATCTCCAGGGCTGGGAAGGTGGCTCAGTGGTAGAGCGCTTGCCTTGCATGCATGAGGCCTTGGGTTCGGTTCCTCAGCACCACATAAGCAAAAAAGAAAAAAGCCGGAAGTGGCGCTGTGGCTCAAGTGGTAGAGCACTAGCCTTGAGCTGAAGAGCTGAGGGACAGCGCCCAGGACCAGAGTTCAGGCCCCATGGCTGGACCCCCCCCCCCAAAAAAAAGAAATAAATCTCCAGCCTAATGTTATAGATCATGCAGGAATAAAAAAAAAAAAAAAAAGAAGGTTCTCGGGAGACAACTGAGGCCACAGCCAGGCCTGTCAGGAAATTGTGCATTTGTGTTATCATGGCGTGGAAGCCCCATTCTGGGTTCCGTGGTGGGTTGAGTTTCATACCTCACTGGGCCCTCATGGGATGAATGTTTTAGGATCTGCATATCTGTAGAACGAGGCTTCTACAAATAGAAACAGATCAGATCTCGGTCTGTCTGGGCTGGGGATTCCACGCTGGGGATTTCCTAACCCACCACAGAGCTGAGCAGAAATGGCCTCTACTGCCATTTCTGTCTACTCAGTTGACGAAGACTCGGGGGGGCATACATTGGAGAGTGGTGGAGTTGGGGCTGCAGTGGTAGCCATGAGTGTGAACTGTCTTCGTCTTTGGCTGAAGAACGGGGGCGGGGGTGTACATGAACACACACGTGTACACACTAACGAACCTCACTCACTAACCATGGAGGTACAGAATGGCTTCCGTCAGCACGAGATTCAAACGATGAGGTTAAGATCTCAGTGTGTGGAATAACTGCACGAAAGACTCTTCTTTCAAGATTTGCCAAAGTGTCCTTTAGGAATGACACCACAGGCCGCCTCCTCCACACCCTCATCCTGCCTGGCTAATCCCACAAAGAAATGATGGACGTGAGCCCCACTCTGCCCGACGGGAGGGCATCGGGTGATCTCAGAGCTCCATTGTTCTGTTCTCTTCATAAAGCCAATGGCCTCGCTTCCCAGCACGGACTCCAGAGCCTGTCCAGAGCCTCCTCCACGATGCTAGTGGTCCTGCTCACTGCGGCCCTGCTGGCCCTCAGCTCTGCTCAGAGCTATGATGAAGGTACAGGAAACGGGTGCTGCCTGTACTCAGGGTGCACGGAGGAGTGGGAAATGGGGTCTGATCGTGCTTGAGGATCAGGGGATCAGGATCAAGGGAAATGGAGTGCAGACAAGGAGGGAGGCAACCCGTGGGAACACTGGCTGGTCCACACTCCGCAGCAAGGACTTAGACTTTCTCACCTATGACTGGCACTCACATGGACTGTTTTTGTTTTTCGGCGTGCAGGCCGTGAAGGATAGGTACATGCTCTGCCTCTGAGCTGTGTCCTGCAATTTCATCAGCGATTTTGGCCAGGTGCATGGCCGGGTGTGTGATCTTTGTGGAATCCCACTGCGCACTGTGAGGGATGATGCCACAGAGGAGGCTCCGCTGTGAGCACAGCAGGCTGTTAAAGGCAGCAGGGCAGGCGGCGGTGCGGCCTTGCTGCCCTAGGGCACTCTGGCAGACGAAGGAGAAGTAGGTGCATCACAGCCATGTCTGGGAGTGGAAGTCGCATGACTAATGTGAAACTCCTGTAGCATTGATCGTAGGGGTTTGGCTTCCAGGGGAGACCTCATCTGAAAATTCTTTAACCAAGACCTTAAATGCTTTTCCCAGACGGTAAGGGTGAGCGATCCCCACGTGGGGAGGGAATGGAGGAGCAGCTAGAGGAAGGCTGGCACTGGAGAGGCGGGTTCCGGGGGGCGGGGGAGGGAGGCCAGGTGAGAAGGTCATGGTGGTGAAAAGAGAAGACAGTCTCCATGCCTGCTGTGCCCACACAGAATCGGAGAACCTAGACGCGGGCCCTGAGGAGGCACCCCTTTCTGGAGAATCCTCTTCAGGATCAGCTGGAGATGAGAACCAGGAGGATGTGCTTCAGCAGGGACCTCCACAAAGAGGAGGCAAGCAACGCAAGAATTCTCGCCCTCCTGCTGGGAACCAGCAAGGACCCCAACAGGAAGGCCAGCGTCCTGGAAGCCCAGGGCCCCAGCAAGGAGGCAAGGGGCGGGGGCAGCAGCAGCGGCAGTGGGGGCAGCAGCAGCGGCAGCGGGGGCAGCAGCGGCGACAGGGTGGCCCTGGTGGTCCCAGGAACCAGCAGCAGTCCCCAGGAGGCCGACCGCGTCCGTAATCCGTCATCTATGGTAAGGTATGCATTACATGTAATCTCCGCCAAAACGTCTAACTCCTACTCTTTTGCAAACAGTGTCCATACGAAGCAACTTTACACATGTTGAAATTATAGTCTTCCATCCCGTGTCGGTTTTCGTACTGAGCTCCTCTCATCCAGCATCTCCAGGATGGTTCTGCTTCCTTGTGTTCCGTGATCCTCTGTGCTGTGCTGTGTTGTGAAGAACGCGGCTTTCCCTTGGGCCCTCTGCTTGCTGGCTCAGCGTCCATCGCTGGGCGTCCCAGCCTGCCGTCCATCCGGCAGTGCTGCTCTGTCCTGCCTGGTAGAAGCCAGTGTCTGAGTTCTAGTGTTCCTGATGGATTACTACAATGTTGCTAATCACTGTGTAGATCCCCCCCCCCCACCACAATACTTTTAAACTTGTACTTGTTCCAGGTAGAAAGACACAAGGCTACATTTTAAAAGCATAAATTATTTTCCTTCTCTACTCCTTCTGAGGAAACCCCTACCATTAATTTTGCTGGATAAACACTTAGAAGTATGTATGTATTACATTGATGAGTTCACTTTTTTCTTGACTCATATCAGGCTTTTTGTTCATAAAAGCTGGGCATGAGTGGCTCATGCCAGTAATCCCAGCACCTCAGGAGGTTATGACCAGAAGGATCTCAGTTTAAAGCCAGCCCATTTGGGAAAGTCTGAGAATTCTGTTTCCAAAATAACCAAAAAAACACTGGAGGCGTGGCTCAAATGGTAGAGTTACAATCTGTGAGCAAGAAAGTCAAGTAAGTGCATGAGGCACTACGTTCAAGCTTTCTTCTTTGAAGAAAAGAAGGAAAAGAAAAAAATTCTGTGTTATTCTTGTCTGAAATAACATAGTTCAAAGATGTATATACATTTCTTCTGAACATGCTTGGTCTTGTTTCTTTTTTTCTTTTTCTTTTTTTTGTCAGTCGTGGGGCTTGAACTCAGGGCCTGGGCTCTGTCCCTGAGCTCTTCAGCCCAAGGCTAGTGTTCTACCACCTGAGCCACAGCGCCACTTCCGGTTTTCTAGTATTTTATTGGAGGTAAGAGTCTCACGGACTTTCCTGCCTGGGCTGGCTTTGAACTGTGATCCTCAGGTCTCAGCCTCCTGAGTAGCTGGGATTACAGGTGTGAGCCACCAGTGCCTGGCCTTGTTCTTGTTTTTATTCTTCTGTTTTTGTGGGTTTTGTTTTGTCTGGCTTGTGTTTTATAATTGCATGCTATTCCACTGTATGGCTCTGCCATGAGTTTTTGCTTTTCAGACGCATTTTATATGAGCATACTTTAACAGACATTCAGTCTGGTGTTGATATTTCTTTTTTATAAGATACATTTCAGCGACCATCTTTCCAAGTATATACCTAAAAACTTTCAACGGCAAATAAAAGATAAACAATGTGGGAAAAATATTTCCAACATATTATAAGCAAGAACTTAAGGGTAAATTTTGTACTGGGTGTGTACCAAGAAGAAACAACTAGAAATACTGAAGAAATTGGGGAAGGTGTAGAAAAGAGGGAAAGGAGGTAGGCTATTTCTTGCCATGCCAGCAACCTGCGGCCACACTGCTGACCATTGTGGACCTGCGTGCCAAATCTTCCTGATCATATCCTTTCTTTGTTTCAGAAAGCGAATGCGGAGATAACGGCCTTCAAAAGTTGTATTGCCGGAGCCCTGTGTTCTCAGCTGTACCAATAAAACAATGAGCATGCAAATCCTGGCTGCTGTCTCTCTTTCTGTGTGGGGTCCAGAGCCTCACCCCATGGGCTCCCTCCTCTCCCCCCATCCACTCCAGGGACTCCACACACACACACACACACACACACACACACATCCTGTCCATGCACAGGCCAGATGACAGACTCCCTTAGTGCCCAGACTTCCAGTACTCTAAGACACACACAGATTTTAAATGCCTTTCATGTGTGTTTGCTGGGGCTTGAACTCGGGGCCTTGCTCTTCTGTTTGGCGTTTTCACTCATGCTGGTGCTCTATTATACCTGCAGTCTGCCACCTTGTGTGTTAACGTAAGAGTACTGCAGACTTTTTCTGCTCAGGCTTCGAACTGAAGTACACGCCGCGGCTCTATCAAGCGTGGATAACTTGAAGACAAGCACTTAAAAACCTAGAAAGCACTTAGAAGCGCAGACCTGAATGTTATTTAGCAGGGGTTCTGGGATGAGAGCAGGGGAGGGGTGAGCATGGAGTAGGATGGTCTGGTGAAAATGAGGGGAAGTCATTGAGGCTGAGCTAGGAGACAGAAGACCCACTACCAACCCAGGTCACATGGTGGTGTGGGGGGGGGGGGTGGAGAGGACCGGGTGGGCCCTGGGAGGGAGGACATGGGGGGTGGAGAGGACCGGGTGGGCCCTGGGAGGGAGGACATGGGGGGGGTGGAGAGGACCGGGTGGGCCCTGGGAGGGAGGACATGGGGGGGTGGAGAGGACCGGGTGGGCCCTGGGAGGGAGGACATGGGGGGGGTGGAGAGGACCGGGTGGGCCCTGGGAGGGAGGACATGGGGGGGTGGAGAGGACCGGGTGGGCCCTGGGAGGGAGGACATGGGGGGGTGGAGAGGACCGGGTGGGCCATGCTCCTCTCAACAGAACCACCCTGAAGAGATGCCATAGAGCCTCATTATCTATACCAGAAGTTTAGAACAAACACATTACACACGGCTTCCATGACAGAGGATACCGGGTTATTTTTGGACACACCAGACTTTAATGCAGGTTGGCACTGAGAAGCCTTTAGAGAGCCGGGGCCAGCCCTGGCACTGAGTTCAGATTCGCAGCATGAGGTGGTGACCCCTGGGGTCGCCAGGATTTATCTGGAGAGGCCATGTCCGATGTCCTTCTACTGCCAGGTCCCCTTCAGTGACCAGGGACCGGGGATCAGGGCCACGTCTAATTGGCTCCCTGGGGTGGTCTTTCAGGGTGACCAGGGAAGGGCCATGTCGGATTGGCCCCCTGAGGTGGTCTCGGCTGGTGAGGGGGGCGGGGCCATGTCGGATTGGCCCCCTGAGGTGGTCTCGGCTGGTAAGGGGGGCGGGGCCATGTCGGATTGGCCCCCTGAGGTGGTCTCGGCTGGTGAGGGGGGCGGGGCCATGTCGGATTGGCCCCCTGAGGTGGTCTCGGCTGGTGAGGGGGGCGGGGCCATGGATTGGCCCCCTGAGGTGGTCTCGGCTGGTAAGGGGGGCGGGGCCATGTTGGATTGGCCCCCTGAGGTGGTCTCTGCTGGTGGGGGGGACGGGGCTGCGTCTGATTGGTTTCCTGAGGTGGTCTCGGCTGGTGAGGGGGGCGGGGCTGCGTCTGATTGGTTCCCTGAGGTGGTCGCGGCTGGTGAGGGGGGCGGGGCTGTGTCTGATTGGCTCCCTGAGGTGGTCGCGGCTGGTGAGGGGGGCGGGGCTGCGTCTGATTGGCTCCCTGAGGTGGTCGCGGCTGGTGAGGGGGGCGGGGCTGCGTCTGATTGGTTCCCTGAGGTGGTCTCGGCTGGTGAGGGGGGCGGGGCTGCGTCTGATTGGTTTCCTGAGGTGGTCTCGGCTGGTGAGGGGGGCGGGGCTGCGTCTGATTGGTTCCCTGAGGTGGTCGCGGCTGGTGAGGGGGGCGGGGCTGTGTCTGATTGGCTCCCTGAGGTGGTCGCGGCTGGTGAGGGGGGCGGGGCTGCGTCTGATTGGCTCCCTGAGGTGGTCGAGGCTGGTGAGGGGGGCGGGGCTGCGTCTGATTGGTTCCCTGAGGTGGTCTCGGCTGGTGAGGGGGGCGGGGCTGCGTCTGATTGGTTTCCTGAGGTGGTCTCGGCTGGTGAGGGGGGCGGGGCTGCGTCTGATTGGTTCCCTGAGGTGGTCGCGGCTGGTGAGGGGGGCGGGGCTGCGTCTGATTGGCTCCCTGAGGTGGTCTCGGCTGGTGAGGGGGGCGGGGCTGTGTCTGATTGGTTTCCTGAGGTGGTCTCGGCTGGTGAGGGGGGCGGGGCTGCGTCTGATTGGTTCCCTGAGGTGGTCGCGGCTGGTGAGGGGGGCGGGGCTGCGTCTGATTGGCTCCCTGAGGTGGTCGTGGCTGGTGAGGGGGGCGGGGCTGTGTCTGATTGGCTCCCTGAGGTGGTCGAGGCTGGTGAGGGGGACGGGGCTGTGTCTGATTGGCCCCCTGTGGTGGTCTAGGCTGGTGAGGGGGGCGGGGCTGCGTCTGATTGGCCCCCTGAGGTGGTCGCGGCTGGTGAGGGGGGCGGGCATTAGCAGGAGGTCTCGGTGGGTGTCCTCCGTGGTGAGGTGGTCTCTGAGGATGATGCGCTAGGTCCTGACTTGAGTCTTCAATCGCTGAATGGGCACAGAATAAGTTATGATGGTGGTGGGAGACCAAGACGGCCCCTGCTCACTGCTGGCCTGGTCTCCCCTGCCGCACTGGTGAAGAGCTTCCCTGCCTCACTGTGGGCAATATGGACACTCCCATCTAGGCTTCTGAGGCAACTTCTCCCTTACACTTGTCATAAAGCAAGCCTTGGAAACTGTGCAATTCCCAGAATGCCCAACAAGGGTTTAATCAGACACAGCAGGAGTTGGGCTGTCTTCTCCAAAGACAGAAGGGAAGCACAATGAAGTCCAGCGTGCTGCCATTTGTACTTCAGAGTCCAGAGAGACCTCACTGCCTGCGGGTCCACATGTCACAGAACCTAGGACAGGTTTCTCAGGACTGTGACCCCATACAGAAACACGGAAAGTGAGAAGAACAAGAACACGGTGCACACAGATTCTCTGGTTACTGTGGCAAAGGCCTATGATGAATTCCAGAGAAAAGGGACATGTTCACATATGTCTGCACATCTCACCATGAAACCATATGATTCTAGAAAGAAACAGTAGGGAAGTCACTGGAACAACTTTTAAGGCCAAAATCAATACACACTGGATTTGCACATCATCTCTGCTCTCACGGAAGGCCAGCCTCACTGCCCTTCAAGTTGGGGTCCCTGGGCCTGGTTCCCAGACCGAGGCTGGGGAGGGTCTGCCTGTGTTCTAGGAAGAACTAACACTCATGAACTACTGGTCATCTAGACATATGATTTTGAAGAACTGAAAAATTCCTGAGGAATAGAAAGAGGATTAGACATTTTACCTGATGATGAGGAGGAGGAGAAGGAGGAGGAGGACGAGGAGGAGGAGTGAAAGAAGGAGGAGGGGTAAGCATCTTCATGGCTGTCTTCTAGGAAATAAAGTGCAGGAAGAAGTACGTTAAATCCTCAACCTACCACGCCTCATGAGTGTTATTCAGGGAAAGGGACCTCTGCCCACAACCTGTCCTGGTCATGTGGTACTGTGTCAGCAACCCGCATGGAACCTTGTCCATCATCACGTCCATCTGACGTATTGTTGGAAAGGGAGGGTGATGTAAAGGAGTAGCAGGCGGTGATCGAGTCTCAACTACTTGCTCAAAACATGTGCGAATGCTCACTGCTAGTATTTGTTAGTATTTACTGTCCTTCTTCCAAAGCGGTGTGGTACAGTTTTGCCTTTTTTTTATTAAATCATCGCTCATATCCACACTCTTTCTCAAGAGGGGAGAAAGACAGTTGTATACAGTGTCAGCCATTCTACTTGTAGCAAATTTGAAAGGATTGTGGAAAATGGGAAATGGATCCCTGGTATTTCTACCTCTCCATGTAGAGACGGTCAGATTTTCCATTGGAGACTTGTGCGTCTCCCTCACCTGCCCTCCCACCCAGTACGCCCAGCCGGGGGCCTGCACCCCTGCTTTGAGAACAAGCATATCTTCATGTTGGGACTCCCTTCCTCCCAGGCTATTGCAAACGCATGCTGCTTTGCCTCCGGTTTCAAAACATACCTTGTCAGTATACCGGTAGAGTTTTCTATGGAGTTCTGATTTTCCATGAAGTCTAAAGCCTGGGCATAACTAGTCTTACACTTGTTAGAAAAGCAGTGGAGTCTGCCTCCTCATCTCCTTCCCTCCCTTCCCCTCTCCTGTTCTGGGTGAGACCCCTGGCCCCCAAGCAGGACCCACGTAGGCCCTGTGTCATCCATTACCTTTGCTGGAGCTGTGAGCGGAGCTCAGGGCCAGCAGGGCCGCGGTGAGCAGGACCAGCAGCATCGTGGAGGAGGCTCTGGACAGGCTCTGGAGGCCGTGCTGGGACTCGGGGCTGCTCGCTTTATGAGGAGCATGGAACAATGGAGCTCTGAGCTTGCCCGGTGACCTCACGCCTGACATATTAGAATGTTTCGCATCCCTGACGTTTCTTGGGGTTCATCCCAGTAATGGGGATGGGGAGAAGGCTGCTATTGTCTCATGCTTCAGCGGTACAACCTGTGACTTGAATAACATGGTTGAAGGATATTATCTGCTTGATGAGACTGAGGAGTCTGTTCTTCAAATGTGTAGTTTGTGAAGTGCCAGATGGTGGGTAGGGCATGAACAAATTTTTTTTTTTTGGGGGGGGGTCTGGTCGTGGGGCCTGCACTCTGGGCCTGGGTGCTGTCCCTCAGCTCTTCAGCTCAAGGCTAGTGCTCTACCACTTGAGCCACAGCGCCACTTCTGGCTTTTTTCTTTTTGCTTATGTGGTGCTGAGGAATCGAACCCAGGGTCTCATGCATGCAAGGCAAGCACTCTACCACTGAGCCACCTTCCTAGCGGCATGAACAAATGTGAATGTGTGTGCCCCCAGGTCCCAGGTCAACCAAGGAAGACCGGCACCCTCCCCCCCCCCGCCAGCATCAAATCCCAAATGCCCTCACAGTATGTGTGTCACACATGTGTCCATGCAACCATTGTCCCTTCATTCCCGGTGTGGGAGTCACACATGTGTGAAATCTAGCTGTGATTTTGTTAGTGTGGAAGCCAGCCCTGCTCTGAGCTGTGATGGTCAGGACTCTGCAGTTGGACACAATGTAAGTGAAGGCTGCCTCTCATGCCACTCAGTCTCACCAAGACCTTTCAGAGGTGTTCAAGGATCTGGCTCTAATCACAGAAGCCTTGTCTTTCAGAGCACAAGTATCCTGTAATGTTCCACTGGCCCTGAGTTCCTAGAGACGCAGTGGCCACGGACACCATAGATTTTTGCAAGGCAAGCGCTCTACCACTGAGCCACCTTCCCAGCCCCTCCATAGATTTTTAACAGAGCATCATGACACATCGTCTCCAACAAGCCATCATTTGTCATTTCAAGTCTCTAAAGAAGTCTCTCTCCGCCCCCTGCCTCCGCTTTTTTGTTTTTACTGGAATGCTTTGTAAGATTGAGTCGGGCCTTCTTTTACTTTAAGAGATAGTTTAAATAACTACCACTGATCTATACACTCGATCGCATGTATTCACGTTCTGATTTGCAATTGTGTCCAGCCCAGTCTCGGCTTTGCCTTTGGCACAGAGGATGCTGTGAGCAGCAGTCTGGAACTTACTCCTCCTAGAACGGATTCATTATCGCTTTCCTGCCTCCTTTCTCCTGTGCCTCGCACCTTATACCTGACATTTCCCCCGGCATTTTTAGAGAATTCTTTCAAAGTTATTTCTCTTCTTCTAAATCGCAGTATTTCCTATTGCTTCTTAGTCCACAAGGAGGGCCTGGCCCCAAGTGTTAGCGCACCACTCCTGGGCCAGCTCTTCTGCCTGGTTCCTCAGCTGATCAAGGCATTGCCCGAATTCTGTTTCCCAAGGTGGGAAGAGGACTGGCAGCAGTTCCCAGCCTTCCCAGCTAAAGCGGGTTCAGTATCTCTGCCATGGATTGCGGTCCTCACACGTATGATATAGTCTGACCCAATGATTGTATGGAGGATCCTGGCCCACCTGTCTTCACACTCAGTGTTGAGATATTAATGTACAGATTGTTTCTTATTGTTGTTGGTGGTCCTAGGGCTTGAATTAGAGTTTTTGCTATTGGCTGGCTTTTTTGCTCATGATATGCTTTACTATTTTAGCCACACTTCCAGTCTGGCGTTTTGCTCATTTATTGGAGATGAAGTCTTGTAGCTTTTTCTGCCTAGGCTGATTTGGAAGTGAGATCTTCCAGGACTCGGCTTCCTGAGGAGCCAGGATTGTGGCTGTGAGCTCCGAGGCCGTGTGTGTGTGTGTGTGTGTGTGTGTGTGTGTGTGTGTGTGTGTGTTGGTCGTGGGGCTTGAACTCTGGGCCTGGGTGCTGTCCCTCAGCTCTTCAGCTCCAGGCTAGTGCTCTACCACTTGAGCCACAGTGCCACTTCTGGTTTTCTGGTGGTTTACTGGAGGTAAGAGTCTCAAGGACTTTTCTGCCCGGGCTGGCTTTGAATCATGATCCTCAGATCTCAGCCTCCTGAGTAGCTAGGATTATTACAGACATGAGCTACCAATGCCCAGCTCTGGGGCCATGTGCTTTTGAGGAGACACTTTCACAGAGTTAAGGGAAAGGAACGGAGGAAAGTATGCAGCAAGTTACAAACAAGTGACCATGGTGCACAGGACTCTTAGCTTCCCGGCTCCAAGTGCACTGCACAATGCCTGACAAAAAAGCCTTTACAGCCATCGCATGCCCACCGTGTGTGGGTCACTGCATGCACTTTCCACCAAGTGAGATTTTTTTGAAAGTCAGTAGAAATTTCAAAACCCAGCCCCACATTTCCCTTTCACCTGACCTGTAAAGGCTAAGGAGATGTCTTTTCCATTTCCTCACTTTGATTTGTTTTCGGGCCCTTATTCTCCCTCATCTTTAAGAAAATGAATACCAACAAAGCAATAGCGCACAGTAGCACAGACACAAGCCTGGATGTGACGCCTCCTGAGCCCCTGCTGGCCACTCACCGGCCTCCCTTACACCGGCCTCTGCCCAGCCTCCCACCATTGCCGGGAAGGGCTGCAATATTGGTGTTATCCTTACAGCTGAAGATGTGTCTGAAGATTTGATGACATTAAGTGAATGCAGTAATAAACACGCCAGGTAGGGAAGCCTGCAGAATACGGTAATAACCATGCCAGGTAGGGAAGTGTGCAGATTTAGGTAAGTTTGTTGATTAGCCAGGAAATTAGCCAAGTCCTGGAGAGACTCCATACGTGATCATACTCAGAAATATATTGTAGTAGCCTCAACTGGTAGCATTTTTGAACAAGATAGGCCAATTATAATAAGCTGAAAAATGATTTGGGGTGTTGTCATCTGATTTAGCCAACTCTGTCGAAGCTTTGGGCTCCAACTCCTCAAAAACTGGAGATTGGGCCTTGAGGGGAGTGGTCAGGTCATAAAGAGGGTGCACTGCCTTGTGTCCTTAAAAGAAGAGGGTGCCTGGACACAGGGGAGACAGCAGGGCTGTGTGTGCACAGGGCAGGTGCTGTGTGCCCAATGAGGAGGCCATCCTGGGGCCAGCAGAGAGGCTTTCATCTCCAAAGCTGTATGAACACATGCCTGGGCTCGATCCTGCCCTGGACTCAGAAACCGAAAGGAGGAGCAGGGGTCAGGATGCCGTGATCGGGGTGCTTCTGCGAGGATTTAAGCGTAAGGTTGCCTCTGAGGGCAGCGTGTTTGGGAGGTCAGGATGAAGCCGTCCCACTGCATGCTTCCCCACTGGCTCTTCCCTCACTCTTTTGTTGTTGGGTGAGCTCCACCGTGACATTTTTCTTTCATAACACACTAATCTCTTTCACACATTTCTGACATGAGAAAAGGTCAGGGAACAGGCTGCCGCTGAGGGACGCAAAGCCTAATTTGTCATTCTGCCTCAGGATCCGGCCGGGCTGGGGCCAGGCTGCCCTCCACCTGTCCTGTGCACGTGAGCCTGTGGAAGCAGTCTCCGCTCCTTCTCGTCTGCCCCCTTTCCCACCGGAAGGGCTCTCGCCAGCATCCAGGGCCCCTGGCTTCCCATCTCCTTCCAGAGATGGTCTTGGTGAGAAACCGAGGCACCTGCCAGGACTGAGCCTGCAGTCTCGGCCTCTGACAAAGACCATCATCCACCAGGAACGGCAGATCTGCATGATCACAGGGAGGAGTTGCCAAATGCTGGCCTTTCCTCCCTTCAGAACCCTGCCATCCTTCTTCCAGGTTACCCTGCAATGCCACATTATGGGTCATAAGCCTGTTGTTTGGAAGTCTGCCTGCAGTGTTTTCTGAAGCTCTTCCCAAGGGGCTAGAAGAGACACTTGCATGCATAGCATAAGGCCCAGCCATCCACAGGGGGCAAGGGGCCAGGCCTGGGGGGTAGAGTCAGTCACATGACCCCAGAGTATAGTCACATGACCCTACATGCCAAACCACCTCCCAAGAGATGCTTCAATCACTGCCCATTCTCTGCTAACCTCAACAACCGTAGTCCTTCACGGGATCTGAAATGAAGAGAGTGAACCCTGCTGGTGCTGGTGTGAACATATGGGAAACACAACACCCCATCACCAAACTCTGAAATCAGATGCAAAGCAAAGCTAGTAAAGAGTAACACGGTGCTGGGCGTGGTAGCTCCTGCTTTAATCCCTGCTGTGGGAAGAGTCTGAGATGGGGCTGTACAGTGAGGTGCTGTCTCAAGAAACAACCACAACACAAACCAACAACAAAGCTGTGTAAAGTAGGAACGGATTTGAAAGATTAAATAAAGGGATTTTTTTTCTCCGGCAAAATGAAAAAGCTAGATATAAGATTGCAAAGGGAATGGACACGGGACAGACACAGCTCAATGCCTGCACAACTTTCTTCAGGAGAGAAATCCATGAGGGTCACCACCACTGGCAGGCTGAGTCTCTCCAGACCCACTGGGGATGGGCGCTGGGAGGGCTGGAGGGAAATGCATGTGGGTCTGGTTCTGCCTGGTTTCTAGAAGATGCTCAGGCATCTCAGCACCAGGCTGGGCGGCTTGAGCAGATGAGGTGGTGTTGGGTAAAGGAGGAAGAGTTGGGCTGGTGGAATTTTCTAAGAAGGGGACGAGAGCTAGAAACCTGCAACTCTCACAAAGATGACAGATAAATACGGGAGGATCCGGCCAGAAGATGAACATAAACAAATCCAAACGAGGAGAGTAGAGAGGTTGCCTTTCAGAATACGGAATGTTTTCTGTGTTGAAGACCAGTATCTGGGAAAGCAGCACCATATGTGCCCACAAGACAGCACGAATACCACGCTGAAGAGACCTGGAAGAGGCCGTCCCACGGCCTTGCAGAGGTGAATGACTGTGGCTGACCTGTTCTCAGGGCCAGTGTGGCACAGTATTTCCTAGAAGAGAGAATACCCCAATTTTATATGCAGCACCCCGCACACAAGGGAAGGCCCGGAAGAAGTCTGAAATGCGCAGGGGGTTGGCTCGCCCAGGGAAGTGTCTGCTCAGACCCCTCTGCTTGGTTATCCACCCTTTCAGGTGGCTGTGTATGCTTGCAGAGAGAAGAGCAGCACCCAGGCTTCCCCGAGCAGGGCCAGGTCCGGTGAGTGCTGCACCATGCAGATCTGAGACCTCGGTTACGGGGTCCTTGTGTGGTTTCTTATCCCATTACAGCGGTTAGCAGGCAACTCCGGTGGCATCAGAAAATTCAGCTAACCGCCGGGAGAGTGACACAGGACTTGTGCATGGTGTCTACTTACTCTTGGTGGTAGAAAATCTGGTGGTGTTAGTATGCGAGTGTGCACAGGACCAGCTCCTGCCCCATGTGCAGTGTAGCACAGGAATGAAGTGCACACAATTACCCTCCTAACATCTGTGCTCATTACGGAGACAGCGTCTCTTCAGCACAGATGCCCTTTTTACACGTTGTACCATTTGGAAATGACACAATGGCAACTTCCTCCCCTTCCTGTCCTGCTGAGCCAACGTCCCAAGAAGAGGTCAGGGATGCGAAGCATTCTAGTATGTCAGGCATGAGGTCACCGGGCGAGCTCAGAGCTCCATTGTTCTGTCCTCCTCCTCATAAAGCGAGTGGCCCCGCTTCCCGGCACAGACTCCAGAGCCTGTCCAGAGCCTCCTCCACGATGCTGCTGGTCCTGCTCACCGTGGCCCTGCTGGCCCTCAGCTCCGCTCAGAGCTCAAGTGAAGGTACGGGGCTACACTGGGTGGGGTGGACGCTGTGTGGACTTCAGATTAGTCAGAGAGTAAGAGGCTGGGAGGAAATGAGAAAAACGATGAGTTGAGAATTGTTAGGACAAATGTAAGGCTATTTATGTTCCTATTTAATACCAAGTCCTTTTAACTTGTTGAAGGCACAGTTGAGGCCCCTAGAAATTCCTCAGCAGAAGGAGAAGGCAATACTTGCGTATATAGAAAGATTTTCCTGTACAGAAGGTGCCACTTAGGAAAATGGAAAGACTGGTATATGAAAACATGGTAGTGAAGGCCTTACCAAAAGTAGATGGTGGAGCTGGGTGCCGGTGGCTCACGCTTGTAATCCTAGCTACTCAGGAGGCTGAGATCTGAGGATCACGGTTCAAAGCCAGCCAGGGCAGGAAAGTCCATTAGATTCTTATCTCCAATAAACCACTAGAAAACCAAAGTGGTGCTGTGGCTCAAGCGGTAGAGCGCCAGCCTTGAGCTGAAGAGCACAGGGACAGCGCTCAGGCCCAGAGTTCAAGCCCCACAACCGACCAAAAAACAAAATGTAGATGGTGGATGCTAATAATGTGTCCATACAGAGGAGGTAAACTCATCATGTCTCAGAATATGGTAATCAATTTGAATTTCACAGTGAGGTAGAACTACATTAGTGCCTTAATTCTATCCAACCTATGTTCTAGTGTTCTGTGCAACTTTGTACCCAAGTGAGCATGTCTTCTTTCTTCTCTGGAGAAGGCGTGTTAACTATGCCAAGGATTTCGTGAGGTAAAAGAGAGAACTACTAAAATGTGCTGTCGAAGTGCCCAGAACACCTCACAAAGGCTAACGGCAAACTCTGATGAGGTTTTGTTTTGAGCAGGTGGTGGAGATTCGGCCTGCCCTTGGCCGCTCCTGGCTTCAGCCGCTGCTGGTGGTGGTCCTGCGGGGCTCACCAGCCAGGTCCCCCAGACCTTGACTTCTCCCTTCCCTTCACTTTGTTTTTCAGACGCCAGCTATGAAGAATCTTCATCTTTATTCTTAGGTAAAGCCCCGTTCCTCTCGGTCCACTGCACCTTCTTCTCTTCCTCAGGAAGGCTTCAAGCCAAGCTATCGGGCAGACTCATTGTCAGGGCGTGAGGCGGGGAACCCCTCGACTGGGCCTTGCTTTTGTCTCAGGAAATGTCTAAGACCACATTTTGGGGTAACGCTAAGGACAGATACTTGGGCCGTGAGCCTAGACGCTGCATGATGACCGTCATCAGCATATGAGTGACTTTCTTGTTGGCCAGCAGTGGGCACAAGAAAGGAGGGTGGCTGAGAGGCCCGTTCTGGGACAAGGGCTGTGGGACAGGTGAGGGAGATGAGAAGTCTTGCTAGCTCCCCCCTCCCCCACTAAACCCACCCCCTCCCCCAGACCCGGACACTGAGCCCACCCCCTCCCCCAGACCCGGACACTGAGCCCACCCCCTCCCCCAGACCCTGCCACTGAGCCCACCTCCTCCCCCAGACCCTGCCACTGAGCCCACCCCCTCCCCCAGACCCTGCCACTGAGCCCACCCCCTCCCCCAGACCCTGCCACTGAGCCCACCTCCTCCCCCAGACCCTGCCACTGAGCTCAGCCCCTCCCCCAGACCCGGACACTGAGCCCACTCCCTCCCCTAGACCTGGACACTGAGCCCACCCCCTCCTCCAGACCCAGACACTGAGCCCACTCCCTCCCCCAGACCCGGACACTGAGCCCACCCCCTCCCCTAGACCTGGACACTGAGCCCACTCCCTCCCCTAGACCCGGACACTGAGCCCACCCCCTCCCCCAGACCCGGACACTGAGCCCACCTCCTCCCCCAGACCCTGCCACTGAGCTCAGCCCCCCTCCAGACCTTGCCACCGAGCTCAGCCCCTCCCCCAGACCCGGACAGTGAGCCCACCTCCTCCCCCAGACCCTGCCACTGAGCTCAGCCCCCCTCCAGACCTTGCCACCGAGCTTGCCTCCTCTGCCATCCAACACAGAGGCCAAGCCCCCTCACCAGGGCCCTCATAGACCGCCTCCTGGAGGACGCCCACCCAGACCTGCATCTGACAGCGACGAAGAGGATGGTCCACAGCAGGGACCCCCACAGCAGAGACCCCCACATCAGAGACCCCCACATCAGAGACCCCCACATCAGAGACCCCCACAACAGGGACCCCCACAACAAGGAGGCCCACAGCAGAGACCCCCACAGCAGGGACCCCCACAGCAGGGACCCCCACAACAAGAAGGCCCACAGCAGGGACCCCCACAGCAGAGACCCCCACAGCAGGGACCCCCACAGCAGGGACCCCCACAGCAGGGACCCCCACAACAAGGAGGCCCACAGCAGGGACCCCCACAACAAGGAGGCCCACAGCAGAGACCCCCACAGCAAGGACCCCCACAACAAGGAGGCCCACAGCAGGGACCCCCACAACAAGGAGGCCCACAGCAGGGACCCCCTCAACAAGGAGGCCCACAGCAGGGACCCCCACAACAAGGAGGCCCACAGCAGGGACCCCCTCAACAAGGAGGCCCACAGCAGGGACCCCCACAGCAGGGACCCCCACAGCAGGGACCCCCACAACAAGGAGGCCCACAGCAGAGACCCCCACAGCAACAGCAAAATCGCCCTCCCCGTCCTGGAAATCAGCAGGGACCCCCACCATCAGAAGGTGAGCAATGGGAACCCCACCATCAGGAGGTGGGCAGAGGGACCCCACCATCAGGAGGTGGGCAGAGGGACCCCGCCATCAGGAGGTGGGCAGAGGGACTCCACCATCAGGAGGTGGGCAATGGGACCCCACCATCAGGAGGTGAGCAATGGGACCCCACCATCAGGAGGTGGGCAGAGAGACTCCACCATCAGAAGGTGAGCAATGGGAACCCCACCATCACCTGCACCCAGGCTCTGAGCCAAAGCCTGCTAACTGAATTCATGTCTGTGCTCCTTAATGTCATCTAGATCTTTAAATACTTACTTGTAAATTAACCCAAATGTTATCTAAAAAATAATGAAATGAGGGAAAAGGAACGAGCAAACTAAATCTGAAAGTCACATGTCTATACCACCCATGCCCTCCACTAGAAGACTCAGTGATCAGTTTCTAGACACTTGCTTGGAAACTGATGCATATTTACTCCTTTTTCCCTAATTATGACACTGTGAAGTATCTCATTTCAAAATTCAATTATCTAGAAAATTTCTGCATCCTTTCATAAAGATATATAGATTTGTCCAGTGTCTCTCTCATTGTTTTCTTTTTTCCTTTCTAGCTTTTTCTTAAATTCTAATTTTAAAAAAATGTAATGTATTTTCTTTCTTTTTTGTCAGTCGTGGCTCTTGAACTCTGGGTCTGGGCACTGTCACTGAGCTCTTTTTGCTCAAGGCCAGCGCTCTATCACTTTGAGTCACAGTGCAGTTTCCCTTTTCATAACATTATTACTTATAAAGTTATAGAATCTTTCATTGAAAAGTTGTATAATAATTTCTATAGACACAATCATGTTGATGATGGTTTCAGTGTTCCTATGATAGCATATTAGTGACACTCATTGCAAATATATCCTTGACTGCTTTCTTTGTTTCTTTTCCTTTTTCTTTTTTCTTTTGTCGGTTGTGGGGCCTGCGGTCTGAGCCTGGGCACTGTCCCTCAGCTCTTCAGCTCAAGGCGAGCGCCTTACCATTTGAGTCACAGCACCACTTCCAGCTTTTTCTGTTTAAGTGGTGCTGAGGAATGAACCCAGGGCCTCATGCATGCAAGGCATGCACTCTACCACTAAGCCACCTTCCCAGCCCCCCTTGACCACTTTCAATAGCAATCAAAAGATAAGCCTAAGAATAATTCTCTCTCTCTCTCTTTTAATCTTATAAGCTACAATTTAGAGCACAGTCTATGCAGGGTGCTTAAGAAAAATAAGCAAAAAGATGAAGGTGAACGAGGGGAAGGGGTAGGAGGAGTAGAGCAGTCTCCCCTCACGGCAGAGCACCCGCAAGCCTTAGAAAGCCCTGCATAACCTCCTCGTTTGCTTCTTTCAGACAGCCAATAAGAGACTGGCAGCCTTCGGGAAGTCCTGCAATTGGAACACTGTGATCGCAACTGCATCTTCAGTATTTCAATAAAGTAATCGGCATGCAATGTCTGATGGCCTTCTCTCTTTCTGGGTGTAGGCAGCTCAGAATTTAAGTCATCTGTCACAACATCTGTCACCTCTTCACACAGCTATGCCCTCTCCCTCTAGTCAGGAGCTAGCTGCCAGGCGATCCGTTTCCAGTCCTACCTGGTGTCTGTCCACAGCCTGGCTGTGCTAGCCCAGTGGCTAGGCTACCTAGAGACTCAAGAAAAGACAGGATGTAAGGCATAGGGTTTACTGAACTCTTAGAGACTGGGTGAATGTGGGGTGGTCGGCTGGGCAGATAACTCTGCTCCTGGCCACAAGAGGAGGAAGGACTTCCAAGACCCATTTACACAGCACTGACATTGTTGGTTTGTGTGCCCCCTTGTATCGCCAGTTCTCAGAGGAACAGCTGGCTTGGTGTTCATGAAGAAAAGCTGTTTCTTCATAGAAACAACTTACTTGCTCAGTGGCCAAGTGCATGTGAGGGAGTCACCACTCCTTCGTTGAGACATGGTGTCCGGGCCTGCTTTTGTGGGTGTTTTGGCTTGGACAGAATCTTGGGGAAGGAAGCGGTCACATTTTCTTCTCTGTGCTGGACATTCCTGAGATGGAAATGGCACTTCCTTTTGCAGCAATGTTCTTACACTGGACTCACAGCTCTGTGATTGTAGCATCTCACAGAGATGCAAACCCTAGGAAAAAATAAGTACTACACCCACAAACTCCCATAAACAGACAAGTCAGACGACACAGCCATTTCATTAAACCAAAAGTTGAACTGATCTTACGAATGACCTGAAGTCATTTTGATGAGTTTAGTTCTCCTGAGCGTGAAGACATAGTTTGCGGAAGCCCTTAGCCTCCAAGTCCCCTGAGTGGGAAAGGGGACCTGGAATAGAACTCAAGGTTTCCCGCTCGCTAGCCAGGCACTCTACCCCTTAAGCTGTGTCTCCAGCCATGTTTTTATGTAGGTTATTTTCAAGGTAGGGTTTCATGTGGCCTGGGCTCAGGCCCTCCCTCCTGTGCATCCCTGCATCTCTGGGGATGAAGGTGGTCACCACTGTGCTTCCCCACGTCTGGGAAAGCACAGGTGCACCATGAATGCTCGGATCCCAGGAATGCTTGGACTCCTTGTTGGAATAAGGCTGAGGCCTACCTGATGCCCAGATGACTTCTCTAGAAAAGGACAAGAGCGCCACCTTCAGGTCCCTCCAGAGTGAGCCTTTGGATCCAAGTGCTCATTCAAACAGAAACAGAGACTGGCCGGCCACATGAGTGGGTGAGTGGCTGTGTGAGTGGATGGGACCCCAGGGCAAGTCCTTGAGATACTGCGGTGAGCGCTGAATCCACCCAGGGATCCACACTGTCAATAAAAATGCTTTCAAAGCCGGGTGCCGGCGGCTCACATTTGTCATCCCAACTACTCAGGCTGAGATCTAAGGATCGCAGTTCAAAGCCAGCCTGGGCAGGAAAGTCCATGAGATCCTTATCTCTAGTAAACCACCAAAAAGCCAGAAGTAGAGTTGTGGCTCAAGTGGTAGAGCACCAGCCTTGAGCAAAAAAGCAAAGTGACAGTGCCCAGGCCCTGAGTTCAAGCCCCATGATAGAACACACACACACACACACACACACAGATACATGCATATACACACGTGCACACACACCCCCCCCCACATATACATATACCCCATGTGCACATACAGACATGCATACACACATACACATCCTACATACACACCTGCACCCACACCACACACACTCCCCACCTACCCCCACACCCTCACACACACACACACCACACACACATACACCCCACACCACATATACACATATCCCATGTGCACATACACTAGGTGCACATACGTACACACATCCCACATACTAACACCCCTACACCCTTCACACATACCACAAACATCCCTACATGTGGAGAGCTGCGACCTCGACCAAAGATGGCGCTGGCTTCCGCCTTCCGCCTTCCCGATGGCGAGTGCTCTCTGTGAAAAACAACTCCTTATATGGCTATGACTTGGCTACTGGCTTGCTTCCGTGTTTGCGACCCTATTGGTATATGCCACGTGGCACCTCGGGATTGGCCACACACACACACACACACACACACACACACACACACACACACACACACACACACACACACACACACACACACACACACACACACACACACACACACACACACACACACACACACACACACACACACACACACACACACACACACACACACACATCTGAAGAGAGAAGCCTCAGATGAATTTAGCCGGAACGACAGAAACTTCTAGCATGGACTAATCTGACCTTGTAAATTTCCCGAAAACACTCCAATTTTGCCAGTAAAATGCTTTACATGTGTGAATATATGTTTTTTGGTTTGGGGGATTTTTGCCAGTCCTGGGACTTGAACTCAGGGCCCGGGTGCTGTCCCTGAGCCTATTTGTGCTCAATGCTAGTGCTCTACAGTGACACTTCCTGCTTTTTCTGAGTAGTTTAGTGGAGATAAGGGTCTCACTGACTTTCCTACCCAGGCTGGTTTCAAACTGCCATCCTTTAGATCTCAGCCTCCTGAGTAGCTGGGATTACAGGCGTGAGCCATCGGCGCCCCTCTGAATGTTTTTGTACATATGAATGTGGTTTATTCAAGACTTGAGAGCTATTAATACCACTGTGCAAGATATCCACCCTACAGGGACTAATTCTTCTATCTTATTGATGGTCATACTTGGAAACTATACACACATTGCTGCTTGTGCATCTGTGTCTGCACATTGCTGACACACCTCGAGACCTTTCCCTCCAAGGAGTTGTTTCTGGTTTTTGGTTTTGTGTTTGTGGAACTGGGCTGGGTCAGATCTTCCTTTAAGGAATCTAAGCACCTCCTGAAATCAGCTCTTATACAAGTATTAAGTGTTCAGAAACTGTGCAAGCAAACCCCTGAATCAGCAGGCTGATGTATTAGACTGTCTTTCCTCAAAACAAAACAAGACTTTATTTCTCTCTGTGCTGTCTTTCATTCTCAGAGCCCACATGCATCCTGCCAGCCAGTTACTTAGCGGTCCTCAAGGACATTCAGAACAGATGGACAGTGTTGGATGGTGTCCACATCACGCTGGTTTTCCTCTCTCTCTTCAAGATTAGCTTTGCCTTACAAAGTTACCCTTTAAAAAGTTATTCTTTATTCTCCCTTTTGCCTAACACTGTAAGTTCTAAAAGAACAATCCCTTTCGGTGGCTGTGATATTAGCCATCAGTCCACTCTTCCACAAAAAAGAAAGCAAAACATTTTTAATTTTGTAAAAATTGAAAACATACAAACTTTGTCTCCAAACTTCCCAGTGGACATCTTCCCTGAGTTTTTCAGGCTCTAGAACATCTTGTAGTTTTGAATAACAACACAGCTTTAGGCCAATCTGTCTAATCCTGTCTTCTAGGCTAATCCTGTCTTCTAATTACAGAAGAATAGTATTAAACTCTTAGAGGAAGAAATGTGCTTATATAAAAGATTATGGGACTGTCTCCAGAGAAGAAAGTCATTCACAACCAACAAGAATATTCCAGTTAGAGAAAGGAAAACATCCCCTGCATGGTTACGGGGCCTAGATACCTGACTTACCTTCCTGTCCACTACCTATCATCTGTTTTCCTTCCCATTAAGAAAAAAAAGCCCTTTTACATACCCCAATTCCCTGAAAAGGTCATTAAGACAATAGGCCATTTTTACAATCAATTAGATGATTATAATCCAACCTGATTTCCTTCCCACCGGCTTTCCTTTCCCGGGGTATCTGCTTTCATGCAGCAAGCAGCTAGGCCTGGTTCCCAGGCAGCAACTGTCAGGAGAGGGACCTGTGCTTCCTGTTCACTGGCAAGACCACCTGGCTGTTCTACTCTTTTCTGCTGCGCTGCTTCTAGAGGAAGGGAACTGAGGTAAGAGCTGTAAAGAAGAGCCACAGGGTAATGGTTCTCGGAATACCTCTGTTCAAAGTAGAGACACTCAAGGATTTGTGAGATATTGAATAAGGCATGGCATGGTGTCATCTGAGTATCAGGGCAGGGGACATAGGACAGACATAACCAAAGATGAAGACAGAAATCTTAAATGTCAGCCAAAGACAAAATCCTGTCAATTTTTTGTACAAAAGCGTTTCAACCACCGAGTTCTTCGACAATCAGAGGATCCCAGACCGGGTGGCCTGTTATTTCTAATCACCTCTTTTCTCACAGCTCTGGTGGCTAGAAGTAGGAGAGCAGGGCTCTCGTATGTAGATATAGAGAGGACACGCGGAGATAGGGAGCCGTGTGAGGCCTTGTGTTAGAGCATGCGTGTCAGTGTGAGGCCACGCCTCTGTGGTACGCCTCACTTGAGTTAGGTTGCAATGGGCACATCTCTACGTACCACACTGGGTAGCTGAGATTTCAACTCAGGAATTTTTGTTTTTGTTTTGTTTTGGGTCCGGTCGTGGGGCCTGAACTCTGGGCCAGGGCGCTGTCCCTCAGCTCTTCAGCTCAAGGCTAACGCTCTACCACTTGAGCCACAGCGCCACTTCTGGCTCTTTTCTTTTTGCTTATGTGGTGCTGAGGAATCAAACCCAGGGCCTCATGCATGCAAGGCAAGCGCTCTACCACTGAGCCACCTTCCCAGCCCCATCAACTCAGGGATTTTTGGAGGACAAAAACCTTTTATCTATACCACCAATCAAGAGAAACACAATGAAATCTATATCTAACATGCTTCATAGCAGGTGACAGTATGGCTGAGTGAGGGAAGCCCAGGGATTTGGGGAGTTACAATTCTTGGGGTGTCAGTGAGGGAGTTTTCTGAGGAAGGCTAGCCCGAGAACGGTCGGGAGACTGAGGAAGGATTGGCCACCATCCAGTCCAGTCCCAAATTGAGCAAAAGAGAAGGGAAAAGTCAGCCTTCCTGCAGAAACAGAATTCTCCTCTTTCAGACGTCTCCTTTCATTTTCAGGGTAGTTCTTGGGTTTGAACTCAGAACATCTTGCTTGC